GGGGGCAGATCTGATTCCGACGAAACGCTTAAGTTTCATTGTCAGTGTCGCGAGAGACCGTCGAGAGCTCCGCGAAATAACTTCGTACGAAAATATTTGTTCCAATTTAATTTAACGTATTCCCGTTGAAATCTCTCTTCTCGCGTTTCCTTCACGGTGGCCTTCGGAAAGGCCCCCCGTGCGTTTTGTTACCGTATTACTCAATGAATAACGTAACGTGTATTTGAGTAATCGGAGCAGAACTATGTGATCCTCATTTGATATCGTTCGAAATATGTCAGCTCGTCGTCGGGCCAAATAATTTATTCTAGGAGAGAATAATTTTGTTATATCGATACTCTCTCTTGATCCACGAGCCGAAGTTAAAATGATTTCGTCAATTGTTCGCTCAGCTCGAAAAGAGGGCGAAGAACGCTGTTATTATGCCGACACGATCCTTCGGAAAATGAATAGCGTAAGATTCATTGGCTTTACGAAAGCCACGTTCTCGGCTAAAGGGATCGATCTGTTCATAATTAATTAATTAATTAATTATCTCATTTATATATACATTATATATAATAAGAAAGTAAGTACCTGTAAGAAGTAAGAAGTAAAATCAGTCGTAGAGTTCATTTTATTACACTTATATCAGTAATGAATCATGTAATTAAACAAATATTATTATAATATTTACATTAGATAGTAATCGACGTTAAATTAAAGTATCTCTATATGAAAGCACAAAACATACATCATCGAAGAGGGAGATTATGAGCAGATCGAGAGTTTTCATTCTTCCAGAATTGCGTTGGGCCCCCTCGTTTGGATACAGCCAATTACAAAAGTGCAATCGTTACCTCGACGCAGTTACAAAAGAAGAAAAGAACTGATAAGCCAAGCAACTATCAAAAAAAAGTGAATAAAAGATTAATTAAAAATAAGAGATTAACAGATTAGAAGAAGCGTCTTTTATCGTCTTTTATCAGTCACAGACCGTCGCTGTACTTCGATCGCAACGATATGATCGTGACGATGTAGCTTTCCGCGGCGATTGCAAACAGGGTGTTAAAAAAAAAAATTTCAAGTTCGATCGGCGGGGTAAGGGAGGGTGTAGACTCGCGGCGCGCGACAGGGCGGCTCGCGACGCGCGCGGATTTGCTGCGCGACGTGAAAGCTCGCGTGACAAACGTTATTTTCCACTTTCGACTTTGCATTTCGCGAGGAAACGCAGCCGACTTGCACCGTGCACATTCGGCATTATTTTTCAAAGTGGTTGACAATTCTCTTCGTTTCGGACGACGAGGCCGAAACCGAAGAAGGCGGCGAAAGCTTCGTTAGGTAAGGAGCTCCCAAATCAAAGTTCTTATTAAAGAGGCCTACTAAGTGGATATTTCTTCTCCTGAATTTTTTGTTGCTTCCTCGAAGCATTGATCAGGTACGATCATTGCAATAGAGGAGGCTGCGCCGCTGTCGAAATAACGCTTTCACGTATAGAATATTTGTCTCTTGTTTCTCTCTAAAAGTAAATCAGTGAAATCATCATTGATTTTCAGTGTATTTCATTTTCCAATGGCATACTTTGAACTGTAATAAGCAGTGACTGTTTTAATGTTGTTTCAGTGATAATATGCCGATTTAAATAAATATCACTGAAAGATAGTGAGTTTTACTGTCAAACAGTTTTGAGAACTAAAATTCATTGTTTTTCAGCGATATTCACTGTTTGAATCAGTATATATTATCACTGCAACAACATTGAAGTAGTCACTGTTTATCACAGTTCAAAATACGTCGTTGGAAAATGATATACACTGAAAATCAGTGATGATTCCACTGATTCACTTTTAGAGAGTACGCTCTTCGTATCCGAAGATGCGAGATTTCGATTTATTCTTTCGATTATATTTCAATTACTGTTCAGCCGCGTGTCTTGTATATCCGCCGAGTTTCTCTCTATGACATATCAATGAAGGTTTTCGATCGACGGCTATAATTTCGCTCGATGAGCAGGCGGCGGTCGTGTGAATCATATAAAAGAGGAAAAGAAAACGAAAGCGACCTTGAGTCGCTGCGGCGATGACGAATCTTAAGTATCGGATAAAAATAGAGATGGAAGGAATGGCGAGGTTCGATCTTCTCGTACGTTCCGTTTCGTTTAACGTCGTGGATAGTGAAAAAGCGTAACGCCTATATACTCTTTCCAAGTGTTTCTTCGGGTTCAGCAAGCCGGAACTCGCGCAACGAAAGTTACGTCTTCGTCCTGAAAGTCTCGCTGCCCGCGATTCTTATTCCGTTTTAATCCCCTTTTCTTCTTTTTATTTTCTATTGTCCGCGCACATATACAGCACACATCACGGATGGAATTATGCCCACCAGTAAAGTCCTACTCTGTGCGCGTCGTAACTGCTAGAGGTAGCGTTTACGAGCTATAGACTTAATCCTTTGCACTTGGACGTCGGTGTTAGGCGAATAATATTTTGTATTGTTGTTGTAACCTAGTTACTACACTCGAGAATACTCAACGAGCATGTCGCAAATGCATACTGAGAAATCGGCGAGTGCTCTCGTATGATTCGTTAGAACGTTGCCGGAAGGAGATTATAGCGCCGATCCCGAATTCCAGGACTGGGCATGGGTATACATTTATAATTGGCGCAAATATTCTAAATAGGATTGTCTTTTTTTTTTTAAATTAAGTCGCAAATATTGCATTTTAAGTCTTGCAACATTTTTTCTGATCAGTTTTCAGATATTTGGAAATACATACTCTCGGAAAATATTGCAGCAATATTTTTCTATTTCTGTTTTTGTGAAATATATATTTGTAGCATATTTTGGCACCCAGTTCTGGAATCGAGAATGTGATATCCGACAAAGAATTCGAGAATCTCGCATCTTCTCGATCCTTTGCCCATGCGTACTTTCCCATAGATGTTCTGACACAGCGGGAAAGAGCGTGGGGAGCTCTGAAAGGAAAGAAATTAAGAGAGAAAAATTCTGCGAGAAAGAGCACTCGAAGGATTTGAGCATCCGTTCGTAAGTAGTATGTTCTCGAATATAGTTAATAAAGCGTCGGGGCGAAGAGTATTTTTTCTAGGAATGTTAGTGGACCAGGCAGCAGGAACATTAATATCGTAAAACCGCGGCGAATTTCATAATTTATAAATTGCAGGAAAATCCAAAAAAAAAAAAAAGAAAAGAATGCAAAACCGAAGCTGTAAGTAACGGAGGAAAATTTACGCGTACGGAAAAAAGAGAAACGTCGCCCATCGGTTAAGGGGAGAGCAGTGGGACTTGTGGGGCAGTCAAATGATACTTGAATGATAGTATAAATGCAGAATTTACGTAGGCAGTAAAAAAACTTTTTTTAGACGTCCTGGAGAGAGGAAAAGGAAGTCAGTGAAAACGAGAGAGAGCGCGAAAGAGAGAGAGAGAGAGAGAGAGAGAGAGAGAGAAATTGAAAAAGAGCGAGAGAGTGTGTGAGAAAGAGAGAAAAAAAGAGTGAGAATGCGTGAGTGGCTGGAAATAAGAGGCTAAAAAGAAAGATGAGGGAAGTATGTGAGAGTGAGAGAGAGAAAGAGAGAGAATGTGAGGAGAAGTTGAGAAAGAGAGGCATTAACAGAGGTAGGAAAACAATATGAAAACGATAATATTATAAGCAACAAGAAGTGCTTTTATGAAATACAATATTATTTATACCATCCTGATGACGTATATATATATATGCATATATATATATATATAAATATCTATATCTATATACATTATATCTATATATGGTAAGTGATAAGAGAGAGAGGAATGTGTATTATGTAACAACAAGGTATAGATAAGTATATTAATATATTACAAATACACATATAAGTATACATATAAATATACACATATATATTAAAAATTATGACCTATTATGACTATGATAATATTATTAATATTGTAATAATTCGTAGTATTATATTGTGACTAGTACAGCATTAAGTAATAAAGGTTGTCCTGTATGTGAACATGGGTATATTATCATGGTGCATATATTGACTTGAAAACATTGATAAACTTTCCGCACTATACTTCCTCTTCCTATGTTCCACTTTGTCATTATCACAATATTGTAGTTTATTTTACGTTACGTATTCGTTTTGTCTCTACTGGCGGCGACCGAAGGTCTTTTAAAATAAGCATGAAGTAATGAAGGTAAGTGCAATTAAAAATTCATATAAATAACTTTTGTTAAAAAATTAATCTTTACTTAGCTAGCCAGTAGTACAGCTCGATAGATTGACTTTGTTAGTAATTAAGCAATATACGATTTATTTAATTACATTATAGTTGTTGATTGCCTTAAAGCAGATGGGACATGACGAATCATTAATATTATCATGTATAAATATTTGTCAATAATTACTGATATAATAAATATGAGATACTGATATCTGAAAATCTTCGTATTAAAAATTCCGATTGCATAGATAAGGGACATTTACGCTTAAAATTGTAATCGCACGCGCGCGTTCGGAATTCGCACAAAGCTTTCAACCAAAGAAAAATGCAAACAAGATATTAAATATTACGTAATCAAAATTACATAAACGTACGTATATCGAGCAATATTACGTTAAAATGAAATTAAACCAATTTTGCGCTTGTCTCATCGGGGAGATCAATGTTCGAATAATTAGTACCTAAATAATTAACGCTGTAAACTATCTCGGTTCAATAAAATTCGAGACTATTTTTTTAAATTTTATTAGTAAAACAAAACTACGATAACACTTCTGATACAGACTCGTCTCTCTTGACTTGTTTTGTCGCACAGATACGTGATGTATCTCCATATAAATTTTTAATTTCACTTTATTCGTGATTGTGCCAACTAATCTCGGCGATAAGACCATTAGCAGCGGGAGAAACGAAGAGATTCCGCGGAGAGAAAAAGACAGAGACACTTTTATCGAATCTCTCAATGTCGCTTGCAATGAACGGAGCTCGTACTCAATTGGGTTACACAATCGTGCGTAAGCGCCGTATGCAATCTTACGTCATTTTCACAACGTTCGAAGTAAAACGACACGTGCAGAGGGGCGTCCCCGCACTGAGCGTCGATTCGTTCCTCTGTGATGACCGACGGACGTCGCGTGAACGACGAATTGGTGAGCCGTATATAATAGCGAACGGGTCTGTACGATCGTGATCAGTGAAGTGATATACAACGCGCGATGGAGAATGGCACGTCCGACTCCCGAACCATTATTCGGTCTCCCGAAGGTTAGTGAAATTTTCGAGCAAGGTCCCCATTACAATTAGGAGAAGTTCCCTTGTAGTTCCTTGTTGAGAAAAATCGTAAAAGTATTTTTTTATAAACTAGTATTCTTCTACTGTGTTTTAATCTCAGATAATAATAATAATTTTCGCTTATCATCCGTGCTATTTTCTTTCTGAAAAATTCATTTACTTCTAAAGCACAATACAAAAGTTACTGTGAAATAAAAAATTGATTTTATAATTTAATTTTATTTATTAATAATTAAATTATTATCTTAATTATATTTTATATCGACGATGAAATAACAGTGATAAATAAGATGAAAATGACAGTAATAATTTTTTATGACAAGAATTTACTATAATATCACGCCACTTATTTCGATTATTATATAATAATTCAAAGTCATTAATAAAATTTATAAATTGTATTTTGTAAGCGAATCATTTATCAATCTTATCATTGTCATCATTTATCAATTATCATTTATCAATTTTATAAAATATTTATAAATATGAAAGTGCATTTTTAATAAATTTTCTAGTTCCCACAACCTTGCGAATATATAATTTCCGCACTAACAATAAGTGAATAAAATTTAACCTTTTCACTACAGTGCTAACACAGCTAAAAAACATTAGCGACAGGTGAAAATTTATTCAAACGACGTTTGCAGAAATTTTTATACCTCAGCGATATTCGAATATATCAGGCGATTACTGTTACTATGCTACGTCAATAGGAGCATTTTATCGATTAAACGATAAAATAAACGTACAGGGTTGAATGTACTCAAGAATTTAACAAAATTTTAAAGTATCAGAAAAAATTGTAATCTCAAATCTGTCAAAGTCTCGTTAGAATTCTGTCTTTGATATAAAGTCACAGTCATTAATTAAAAATTAATGTTTCGGTGGTTCAATGATTTTTCTTTCTGTGTCGCAAAATTAATTGATGTTATGAAAAATAAGATTTGTTTTATATACGAAATCTTTAATAGAATCGATTTCTTTACGTATATTATGTCCTTTCGGATTACTAAATGCTTGTTTATCATTTATGATTTATTATAATAAGCTAGCTGATTACGTCACATTATGTACATCGTATTTATCCGTACGTGGAACATGTAATAGCTTGACTTGTGATCTTTGAGACTTAGTAATTGTCAGGTAAGTGTCAGCTTTAAAATCACTCACATCCGTCGTGAAAAAAAACTACTTAAATTTGCATCTGTTTTTCGTAAACATTACATCGAGTATCCTCATAAAGCTTGAGCATACTATTGTTGAATAAGTATTGTTTGAAATTATTTAAAAATATTATAATGTTAGAATAAAGATATACAATATAATAATATGACTGCGGTGTAATAAAAGCGTAAAAATTAAATGAAAAACTGTATTCGAAGGGCAAAGCTCTTGCATAATGTTAAGAATCAATTTCAATTCACTAATATATATCAACGCTTATGATTACAATTGATTTCGTTACTTTATAAGCACATGGGGTAGGGAATTGGGTCAATTTGCGGATCGCGACCATGAAATAGTAGCTGCGAGATTAATCATGTGTTATTGAACACATATATACGTGAAACACTTATACGCGTAGACTAACACAGTCCAGTGTACTCCATTTTAACATTTTATCTCATCTTACAACTACATATATAGTAATGCTTCGTGAAACATATTAGAAACATTAGTATAGCATTACTTGCAAGTTTTCAAAGCATTTTTTTCGTAGCTACATCGCAGGTAATATTATTTTGACATACTTAATTTTCAGACACGGCAAAAGAGTTCCAAGCTTATTTGAGAAAATACGAAAAAGATGACAAGTTGGTGATTCTGGAGGCCACGGACAGGCCAGGGTCAAAACTCGGCGACAATTATACGTCGGTGATGATCAGAACGAAACTCGTCGGTACACGCGGAGACGGAAGTCGTTAGTATCGTTACTTAATTTATATTTAGCATTGCGTTATTACAAACGAAAATTGTCGGAAACAATGATGTCTGATTCAACAAAACGAAATAATTTTATGTTACGTAACTTCACAAATCACGTCCCGACAGATTGAAAGAGAGAGACAAAACAATGCTATCTTATTATTTATTTGTCGTTGATTTTAGAATTACGTAACATATAAGAAAAGCATATATTTGATATGCTTCTATTTTAAAGGAAAAATTATTTTACCACGAATCCGAATGATTCGGGTTGCATATTAAATCACAATTTTAAAAAATACCTACTGTATGCAGAAGTGAATTTTCTATAATTCTTTTAAATTTTATCATTGAATTTGCTTAACGTATCTTTACTAACAGCTTGGTAAATTTTTATTTTAATATATTGGTTTACCTGTTAAAAATATTGTATTCGTTGAGTATGCGAGAAAATAAATGACAAAGTACAAATACACAGTATGCATACATTTCTTGTGTATTTGTGCACAGCATATGCCAAGACTTTTATGACCAAGAAGATCCTGCGTGGGGTCACCATCAACAAAGTAATAGACCTAACTGATTTATTCCGTATGGAGTCGCATGCCTATACGAAAATATTACCTGTCCTTGGATCTTTTGGCCCACCCTGTATATATGCTGACTCGGACACTATAATAATGGAAGATTTGGCGGAGAAAGGATACGTCAATTGCGAGAGGCGCGATATGTTGGATTTAGATCATACTGTCTTTGCCTTAAAGGTACGTTTTTCAACCGACATTCCGGAACACATGCGCTGCTCTTTTATCTTATCTCGATATAGATAAAACACAATAGATAAGAAAAGATAGTTATACAACATCCAATTACTTGATGTTTCCTCCGGGATGTAATTGCAATTCTGAAGCGTGCGCAATACTTAGATAATTTATTATTAGGAGACAATGAGAAATCTTTCCTCTAGAGACGTAATAAAATAGAGATATTGCTTCAACTAGCTGTTTGGATGCTGAACTTTAAAGATTATGAAGTTTTGTTATCATACGGGGAACAAGTAAAAGTGTTGCTAGACATGACACAGTAATAGTAGTAGCGGCATACGACGGTCAATCCCATGGCTTCATTTATCTTGTCGGTAATAGCCGATAATTACTGACCAATATGACTAATATTATCCTCAGATCCAGGTAGAAATGCATTTCAAAGATTGACTAATCGCAGATTAACATGATTAACGATACTTACGATATTTGTCAAGCTTTTGTACATTAGAATAGTATTAATATGGACTTTTAATACTAAAGCTATCCCTATTCACGTATTACAATAACATCAATAAATCTCGAATTCTTTGATTAATTTAACGTTGAATTTTATCAACAAAAATTTTATCAGACGACACTTTTTTTCTAAATTTTCATTATGTGCCGACGATCAGAGCAGTCTTAAATTTCGAAAATTAACAGCGAAATGATACTTTAATATTTTTATTTATTTGTAAAAGTGTTGTCAAAAAATATTTAATTTTTAGTTCTTCGAATGCAATTTCTAATTCATCAAATTTTAATCGACTTCATTTTTCTCATTGAAGAATTTGTCAGTACGGTAATTCCGAAACTACATATATCGATTCTTTAAAATAATTATATTTAACACAAACGCATGTTTTTGCTCATCTAAATTTCACCTGAATCGCACATATATGTTTTATATTCTCTACAGAAACTTGCCAAGTTACACGCGTCGGCTTTAGCCATAAAGATCAACAATCCGCGGCTGTTCGACGAGTTGAACAGTCATCTGGAAGAGGTAATCTACACGGATAATTCCGAAACGTCGGTAATGAGGCTATGTACCGAAACGTGCGTGAAGACAATAGTACAATATTTAGATATGGTAGAGCCGCGGACGCCGGAGTGGCAGAGTGTTAGAGATCACATGGCCAGCTATCTTGATAAGGCCTACGACACGATGCAGCGGATGTTCACCATGCCGAAGCAAAAGTACGACACGATCTGCCACGGTGACCCGTGGGTCAATAATTTGCTCTTCCTGCATGACAACGACGGCAGGATAATCGATTTGAAGATGGTGGATTACCAGATAATCAGGTATGCCTCGCTGTCCTCGGACATCCTCTACTTCATATATAGCAGCGTGCAAACGTCGCTGATCGAGAGGAGCTTCGAGAGCCTTCTCAAGATCTATCACAACGAGTTCCTCAGCGAGCTCCGTCGATCGCACGTAGACGAGAACGTGCTCGCGGAGCTCGGGATGGACTGGCTGAACTCGGAGCTGCGAGCTTACTCGTTTTACGGAGCGCTCATTGGATGCTTCTTCATAAATCCGCTTTTGGCGGAGGAGGAGGACGTTAAAGAATTTGAAAAGGTCGAGTTCGGCCCGATGAATCCGATGTACCAAATAGACACAAAGTCGCCGACGGCCCACAAGAAGATCGATCGCGTCAAACGCGTCGCGTTTCAATATTACAGGCGACTTAAATTGGGTATTATTAATGACGATATCGAACCGATTCCTATTACGGGATAGTATATTTGCTCGGCATATGATAATGTCTATCGTCTAATCATTTGATATTATCGTCTAATAAACAACTGTAAATTGTGGCGTTTATGAGACATAAAAGAAAGCAATCGTAATTTAAGCCCGTGTCAATGTAGATAGATTACCGGTGTGTACAAAGAGAGAAAGAGTGAGTAATTCTTATATTGTATACATCTGAAAATATAATTGTTTTTAGAAAAATATTGATTGAAACATTTTTATGGAATATTTCTTTTTACAATCATTGCTTGAAATTTTATACCGACTCCCAAATGTGACAATTAATATAAAGTGAAATAACGCACAATTAGCTTTGGTATCGATATCGTAAATGTATGTGTTTAAAAATTGCTACTACTTTATAGAAAATTGAATTTTCGCGAAATACCTCAACAAAGCGTATTTTTAATACATACATCAAATAATTTCAATAATTTATTACGATTAAATCATAATTAAATAATGTGCCGAATTGAATTATAATTTAAATAATGTATCATTTAATATGTATATTAAGTATAATAAAAAAAAAATTCTATAATTTTTGTGTAGCATGTTAATAAATATGTTACGCAAAATATACTGTGCGTTTTGAAAAGCTTATGGAGATATATATTATACACGGATGGAGATTATTTTAGAAATCGTATCTTATCCTAATGCGTCGGTATGACATGGAGGTAAGTGGTATAATTTGCATTGACTCTAATTCTAAGTTGCACAAAACCGTTTCTTAACAAAGCCGTTGTGTAACAATGTTCTAAACGGTGATTTGTGCAAACGGCGGCGTCTTTCTCACAACACAATTTCGTCGTTTCGAACTCGTGCCGAAATATATATCCGCGACGCCCATCTGTTTCATCGCTGCGGTATTATTTCCATTATTTCAAAGCGATATTCTACTGCGATTATTGTTACCGGCGCGGGACCGCATTACGGACATCTCGGGGTGAGGTAATCCCTGAATGTTTATTAGCCTCATTATTTTATATTACGTGAGTGAAGCGTAAGTTAATAATACTCATTTCAGTAATCCCGCGCTGAAAAGGTCATAAAAGTGGAATCGCGGTCAGCGCGGGCGATATCATCTTTATCAAAATCATTTTTATTTGCACACGCCGGGAGATTGTGTATATTAGCGCAAAATATTTATATCGACTGTTGCATGCAACAGCGAGGTCAGCGTTGGGGATTAAATTGCGCATCCTGCATGATTAATACATTCGCAAGTTTAATCGCTGCATTTAGAGTCGATTGAAAATGGGAATGGGATTGAGGGGGGGGGAGGGGGGCACAAAAATATATTTCCAATCGAATTTCGTGTGTAACTATATACGCAAACGTGTTGCATATACAAACGGAAAGGTGAAGGATCAGCAGCGGAGAAAGCGGCGGTAATATCGAAGGTTAAATCACTCGACACCGGTGTGCAGCAGCGGTGTGCACCTACACGATTTCGATATATAGTTGAATTAACGGCGCAGAGGGAGGGACGCGAGTTATGATGTCGTTTTGGACATAGGATGGATGCGTGCGATAAGTTAAGGGTGTCGGTTTCGCAGCTTGTGCGCTGCAGCGCTTGGGCCAATGTCCCAGGGCGTGGGAGCCGCGTGTCGCTTAATTGCCACATCTCCTCTCATCTCGTCCCACCGGCGGGTCGCATTGTTGTACCGCCGCACAGGCACGCGGAAACACGCGTGTAACACCGAGAGGAATATTAAAATGCCGGAAGGACGCGTTCTCTCGCGCCTTCTCGCCGCGTTACGTGGGGAGCTCCCCCCCCCCCTCCTCCTTTTGCCTATTGTTCGACGACGACGACGCCGTCGTCGGTGTCCCGGGGCCGCCGCGCGCCGCGCGCGGTAGAAAGACATCGATAAGGATCCACGAATGGATCCCGCCGGCGGATTAAGGCGTCCTCTCCTCGACGACGACGACGACGACGACGACGACGACGACGTAACGTTACGTCGTCCCACACCGGCGGGGTAGGAACATTTTTAGAAAGTACGAACATCGACGCGCGTTGGACGATCGTTATCTCCGTTCTCAATTCCCGCTTTGCAAGCTTATTTTCTTTCCTCGCCTGCACGTTTCGTCCGATCCGTTCATTATCGCGCGGAGCGATAATAATTATATACGACTGTCGTATATTGCACATGGAAATTATGTATCGCGGCGTATCGTCCCGATCGATTTGCTCGCCGCGTTTGGTAGTGCGAATTTCACGATTTATGCGTTTTCATTTCATCCTATCGGATCGCGTTGGCTTTATACACCCACGCGAGCTCCGTTTATCTGTCTCGCGCATCGGATATACCTTCTTCGAAAGGAAATGCATCACTGTATTGAAATGTTCTGTTCGGTTATCGGAAAACGTAATTGATAACTTCATTACAGTGACTCTTTCACTGATATTAATCACTCTCTTTGGCATAAGTGCTCGTAAAGTAAAAATAATAATTGACAATTAACATGCAGTCATTTCCACGATTTTCTTCAATTAAATAAATTCTTCAATAAAAGATATATTAAGAGGTTACACTACCCAGGCGCGTCGAAAAAATAAGCTTTTTTTGTGAATTTTTCTCTCGAGTTCTAGGTGGTGGATAAAAAAAAAATTTAGGGCTTTATTACACATATTAAAGTTCTCAAAAATATTTTTTATTTATATATGTATAACAAAATGGCGTCGTGGCAGTATAAAACAGAAAAAAAATTTTTTTGTAGGAGAAAAACGGTGTACACCGTATCTCGCTCAATTTTTGTCCGATTGACTTGAAATTTTAACTGCAACTTCTTAGGTAGATTTTCCGTGGAAGTACCGAGGATTTTAAATTTTGTTTGAAAATTCACAAATTTGTATGAGTTTAAATTTTTTTTAAAATTTTTTAGCAAAAAATCGTCCTTAAATTGTTAACTGCAAACGTAATAATTTATCAATCATAAAAATCGTGTGTACCTCCACGGAAAATCTACCTAAGAAGTTGCAGTTAAAATTTCAAGTCAATCAGACAAAAATTGAGCGAGATACGGTGTACACCGTTTTTCTCCTACAAAAAAATTTTTTTTCTGTTTTATACTGCCATTTTGTTATACATATATAAATAAAAAATATTTTTGAGAACTTTAATATATGTGTAATAAAGCCCTAAATTTTTTTTTATCCACCACCTAGAACTCGAGAAAAAAATTCACAAAAAAAGCTTATTTTTTCGACGCGCCTGAGTAGTGTAACCCCTTAAATTATACTTAATTTGCAAAAACGTTCGCTGTTTCGCAAAGACTTCTAAGCAGGTTTCTGGTGCGTTTTCAAATGAATTCGGATGATTAACAATCAAAGCGTATAAAATGCGTGAAAGCAAAAATGAGAGACTTTGGGCAAACTTTTAACTTTCATATGAGAAGTTAACATTAGCATTGGAAACGTGAAATAGAAATGTACAAATCACAAAATGGCACGACATAATTGAAAGGTATATATTGATTATTTATTAATTATAAACTTATTAATATAGTTTTATATACGTAAAATTGTGTTTCCGTGGTACTTATTATATGTATTTCGATTTCTACTACGCGTACAATCCTTGAATATAATACTGAATTTCAATTTTTGACCAATCGTATTGCTGTAGTACATTAATGTGATCATGAATTTTTGAACGCATCGCGCGATATTAGGGTCGCTATATTATCGAAACGCGCCGGACACGGAACGCGGTGGACACACGGAACGCGGTGGACACACGGGACGCGGTGGACAAGGAACGCATCGGCTCCGCGACACGAGCGTCGCCCGCGCGTCGCGATTTACGTTGGTAAGCAAAATCCGAGAACCCGGTGGATTTATCCTCGATTGCAACATCTTACTATCGCGCAACGTAGACGCGACGCTCGTAGACGTTGACGATCGCGTTAAAACGCGCGTATTTCGCAAGCTCGCTCGAAGAACTCTGTCGCGCGAATAGTCGACAAAGCGCGACTCTCGTATTTTTGGTTATCGCGATCATCGGAGTCCGTATATAATTTCTGTCTATATACTCTGTCTGCAATTTCGACTCACATATTTGGCTTGCGTTGCAATGCAGGATAATGACCGCCGTGAAAGTAGACGAGCGTATATTATATTATTTGTTGGTCCGAAACGCGCGGGGGGGGGGGGATGCATGAAAGCGCGAAGCAGCAGGAGCAACAGGTGCAGCACCGCCGCGTCACTCCTGCCGCGTGAAGTTGACCGCGCGACGTCTACGCTCCCGTCCTCCCCCCCCCCTCCGCCCCTCTCGCCATCTTAGACGCGTTCACGCTTCATTTGGCGCATCGTCGCGGGTGTCGGAACGCGCCGCCGGTCCTATTTTTCCCGCTGTCGCCGGCGTGATTGAGTGCCGCGTCGCGCGTGCGATCAACATCGGGAGTGCGAATATCGTATACATAGGAAGTGCCGCGCGATCGAGTGAGCGCGATTAATCGTAACTATAATCGTGTTTTCGCGAACGGATTTGCCGGTGGCGTCGGTCGGCGCCGCGCGCCGGAGACGCCGCCGCGGTGAAACAAGGAAGGAGGAGCGAGAGGGATGCCAAGGAGAGGAGGTATCGGACGACGGCGGAGCAACCGTGAGGTGAGCCATCCATTTCGTAATCCATTTCATTATTCAGTTACTGACGGAAGTAATCGTTCGCGTTCGCGCGGTGGAGAATCATTTCAGATCACTTAAATTTGTGATATAATAGCGGACCGCATACAATGCGGCTGTTTGTGTAATATTGTAAAATATTACGGGCTATATTTTAAGATTTTCTCGAAATATTTTACGGCACAGTTTTAATAGCGACGAATATATATATATATATGTACGAAATATTTCAAAATATCTAAAATTTATAATTAATTTAAATTACATCTATTAATTGCATAGGATTAGGTTATGTCTTAGGATAAATCTTTCGACGAAATAGATTTTCTTTTCGTATTTAATTAATATCTCGCAAATTAATCGTCCGAATTAAACCATTTTGCACTTGTTAGAATTGTCAGACTTTTCAGCTTCAGAGCTTTCGAACGAGCCTAAAATTATCTTGTTGCGATTTTTTTTGCATAAAAATTGACGATTATATCAATCGCGAGATCGCGATTTAACCGCGGCGTGCCGCTACGTTGGCCATTTCATTATTTATTGTTACTGACAGAAGTAATCGTTCGCGCGGTGGAGAATCATTTCAGATCACTTAAATTTGTGATATAATAGTGGACCGCATACAATGCGGCTGTTTACGTAATATTATAAAATATTATGAGCAATATTTTAAGATT